GCCACCGCGCCCGGCCCTTTTTTTTTTTTTTTTAAAGAGACAGGGTTGGCCGGGCGTGGTGGCTCATGCCTGTAATCCAAGCACTTTGGAGGCCAAGGCGGGTGGATCACCTGAGGTCAGGAGTTCAAGACGAGCCTGACCAACATGGTGAAACCCCGTCTTAAAAAAAAAAAGAATTAAAGAGACAGGGTTTCCCTCTTTCTCAGGCTAGAGTGCAGTGCCATGACTATAGCTTGCTGCAGCCTTGAACTCTTGGGTTCAAGTGAGCCTCCCACCTCAGCCTCCTGAGTTCCTGAGAGTACAGGCATGTGCCACCATGCCTGGGTAATTTTTTTTTTATTTTTATTTTTTGTAGAGATAGGATCTTGCTACGTTGCCCAGGCTGGTCTTGAACTCCTCCTAAAGTGCTGGCATGAGCCACCATGCCCAGCCCTCCTTCCTTATTAATTTGAATCTATTTATTTATTTATTCATTTCTCTCTGTGGCCCAGGCTGGATTGCAGTGGCATGATCATAACTCACTGTAACCTCAAACTCCTGGCCTCAAGCAGTCCTCCCACTTTGGCTTCCCAAAATGTGCTGGAATTACAGGCATGAGCCACCCTGCCCAGCCCCTCCTCCCTGCATGGCTGATGAGGGTTACTCCCTGATGTCTGGATGGGCACAAGGGGAGAGGCTGATTACGATGATCACGTCACACACAGTTCTGCTGCCCTGAGCAGAGGCTTGCTGCTATAGGAATGCTGCCCGCCAGTCGCCCCTCTGGCCTCCGTGGCCTCGGGCTCTGTGGCGGCCCCTGCCTCGCAGTGGTAAGGGGTCTCCAGTAGCTTCAGTACCCGCCGAACCTCTGAGAAGTCCCCGCGCTCGGCAGCCTCGATGGCTTTCTGCGCGATGTAGTTCCTCAGCACATACTTGGGGTTGCTGGCTCCACAAATCGTTGGAGGAGAGAAGACGCCAAGGAGTTGATACCAGTGCCCTAGCATTTCCTGTTCCCTTTCTGGGAAGCTGTGTAGGATCCTATCAGGGTTACTCCCTGATGTCTGGATGGGCACGAGGGGAGAGGCTGAGCCCTGGGACCACTCTCTCCTGCAGCATCGCTGGTGTACCGTCTGCCCCAGTCGTGGGTGGGGCCTAAGCTGCCCTGGAAACTCCTCCATGCAGCACTGCACCTGATGGCCTTCGTCCTCACTGTTGTGGGGCTGGTTGCTGTCTTTACGTTTCACAACCATGGAAGGATTACCAACCTCTACACTCTGCACAGCTGGCTGGGCATCACCACCGTCTTCCTCTTCGCCTGCCAGGTGGGTTCTCTCTCCCCTCCTCCTCAGGGTTCCCAGAGCCATGAGCTCTGGGCGGGACTTCACTTGCATAAGCACCAAATATTCCTTCTGCTTATTGCCTGGAGAGAGCCTTGCAGGTCGTATCCTGCCGAATCGGTAGTTTATTCAAGGGCTGTGGGAGGTCAGTGGCCTGAACTTACCCTGTCCTTTTATCCTTCCCATTGCCTGTCTCTCCTCCCAGAGCCCCCTCTGCTAACTTTGTCATGGCACATGCCATGCTGACTCAATCAGCCATCTCACTCCCACTTTCCCCACTCCCACTTTCCCCACTCCCACCTCTCTGTGAACCAAAAGAATTCTAGAAGTGGTTTCCGTATTCTGATCTCAGGTCTGTGCAAGTGTGGAGTTTTATGAGCAAGGACTGGAAGGAAGCAGAGACAAACAAGGCAGTTGGGTTTGCTGGGAGTAGGATGGTAGCTAAGCATGTCATTTACTGTTCTTGTTTTGTGGGTAATAGGCCATATGAGGAAGCTAGCATGGCGGTGGGCAATGCCTGGCAGTGGGCAATGCCTGGTGGGAGGGTATGGAGTTGTGAAAGAAGAGCCAAGGAGATGGGGAGGAGGCACTGGTGGGGTGGGGTAACCGGATGTGCTGTGGTCACACATAGCACCGTCGGGTGTGTCCTCCCTTTTGTCCACAGTGGTTCCTGGGCTTTGCTGTCTTCCTCCTGCCCTGGGCATCCCTGTGGCTGCGCAGCCTCCTAAAACCTATCCACGTCTTTTTTGGAGCCGCCATCCTCTCTCTGTCCATTGCATCTGTCATTTCTGGCATCAATGAGAAGCTTTTCTTCATCAGTTTGTGAGTGCAGTGGGGTCCCCAACTCTAAGGTGAAGAGGAGGGAATAGGGTCTTCAAAAGACACACCCTATCATCATAGGACTCACCCAAGGGAGGAGAGCTTTCGGGGTTGGGCCCATTCCTGATCTTGAAGGTAACAGAATTGATCTTTCTTTAGGTTGAAATGGGTAAGTCAGCAGATATGTATGGAGCATCAGTTTGATTTAGCACCTACTGTGTGAACTGTCCTAAGCACCTTACATTTAATCCTCTCAACCACCCTACCTCATTGGTATTGTTGTCATTGCCATTTTCAATTGAGGGAACAGATTCTGCAATAGGACTGTTCAGGGGGAAAAAAATGAGGGAACAGAGGAGTTATGTAACTTACCCAAGGGCACACAGCCAGTAAGTAGCAGAGCCGGGACTCAGGTTAGGCAGTGTGACTCTAGAGCCTGCACGCCTGGCCACCGCTGTCCATTCTGAGGCGATGGGGTGTAGTGAAAAGCAACTAGGACTTGAGGTCAGACCTCAGTTTCAATCTTGGCTTTGCCATTTACTAGTTATGCAACTTTGGGCAAGTAGATTTCATTCCTTTGAGCTTCAGTTTCCTCATGGGTAAAAAGGATTATTACAGCTGGGTGCAGTGGCAGGCATCTGTAGTCTCAGCTACTTGGGAGGCTGAGGTGGAAGGATTATATGAGCCCAGGAGTTTGAGTTAAGCCAGGGCAACATAGCAAGACCCTCTCTATCTCCTCACCCCCACCCCCACCCCCCACCACAAGAGACTACATCTCACTCTGCTGCCTAGGTTGGAGAGCAATGGTGTGACCATAGCTCACTGTAGCATCAAACTCCTGAACTCAAGTGATCTTCCCGTTTTAGCCTCCCAAGTAATCTAGGACTACAGGCATATCCCTTACCCAGCTGTTTTATTTTTGTAGAGACAGGATCTCACTATGTTGCACAGGCTGGTCTCGAACTCATGGGATGAAGCAGTCCTCATGCCTTGGCCTCCCAAAGTGCTGGAATTACAAGAGTGAGCCACTGCACCCAGCCCATTTTACAAATATTTGCAGGGACTTAGAAAGGGTGTTAAAATTGCAGATCACATGTGGGCCCCGGCAAGGTTTTCTCACCTTCTCTTAGTGACATCGAGTCTCCCACTAGACAGAAATAGGTGGAAAAATCTCTTGAGAGCTCACACTATTTTCTCATCTTCAGGAAAAACGGCACCAGGCCATACTCCAGCCTGCCCAGCGAGGCCGTCTTTGCCAACAGCACTGGGATGCTGGTGGTGGCCTTCGGGCTGCTGGTGCTCTACATCCTTCTGGCTTCATCTTGGAAGCGCCCAGAGCCAGGGATCCTGACCGACAGACAGGTATGGGTTCTGGTCCCACATTCCAGGATGGGACAGGGCCAGACCTAGAGAAGGATCTCCCAGGAAAGGCTCAAGAAGACTAACCCAGTGGCACAGTGGAAAACCAAGTAGCTTGAGGGTGGAGTTAGGGTGGCTGATGGGGAGCACTGGTCCCAAAACAGCCTATCCCAGCGAAACTCTCTGGGGCTCCCTAGGGTCTGTCCATTGAGAGACAGAATTTCCCTCCCAAATTGCTGTGGTTCTATGAGGTGAAGTGTGGCCTTATCTTCTTCCCCAAGGAAGGGCTTGACTATGCCAAGGGTGTGTGATTTCTCCTTTCCCAGCCTTGGGGCTGGTCTAGTGGGTGGGTGCTTGGTGACAAGCTGAGTGCTTGGAGCAGGTGTTGAAGGGATGGAGGGAGATGGGGTATGTACCAGGCTCAGGGACTTTGGGGCTTCCCTGAGAGATTTGGTGGCTTGTGTGGGGACCACCCTGCAGGTTGGGGGTCTGTTTGAACGGCTTGGGCCTGGGGTGACTCCTGCATCCTGTCATTAATTCCTGGGCATCTGCCTGTCTTTCCAGCCCCTGCTGCACGATGGGGAGTGAAGCAGCAGGAAGGGGTTCCCAGGAGCTCTTGGTGCTGCAGCCTGTGCTCCTCAGAAGCTCTGCCCTTCCCAGGCTCCCAGCTGGCTTCAGCAGATGACTTTCTTCTAAGTCTGGGCCCAGACTTCTTACCTGGGTGCTGAGCCTGCCTTCTCCAGCCACTTGCTGCCTGTCTGCTTTTCTTGGTGGCTTTGGCTTCTGCACTACTTGGCATCAGCTTCTCAGGTCCTCTGTTCACATGAGGTCCTCCTTGCCCTGGCCACTCCTGCTGCTCCTGCCTGAAGAAATCAGACTGATTTCCGCTTAAGACTCCTGGGGGCGTGGTGAAGAGCTGGGGCTCACGTGCATTCCACGACATGAACCACGAGGGAGGTGAAGTATCTGTCTGCTTCCCCCACAAAGGCATGCATTTCAGTTAGGCCGCCCCGCCATGGAGCAGGCTTCATCTGCTCTGCCATCCAGCCCCATCTGGAGGTGTGGTGGGGTGGAGACATCATGGAGTGATTGCAGAAGCAGGGAGTGGCGGCCCACGCAGCTTCCGCTGAGGAGCTGACTGCTCTGAGCTGTTCTATTTGTATTGCTACCCTGAGTCTGCGTGTATTGTGACCATGCGGCTCTACCTCTGCCAGCTGCTGCTACAGCTGAGGCCTGGATCCTGGCCTTTCCCTGTGACTTACATGCCTGTCGCCAGCAGGCAGCCCTGTGAATCCTGGTAACTTGCTCTCCCAAGAACAGAGCCTGTCCCCAGATGTCTCAATAGTAATGAGTAACAGAGATGGCTGTGGATTTCCTTTACTTCCCCTTGTTGGATCAGGGCCTTCCTGCCTCCTGCTGGGCAGGGCCCCAGCCCCTCTGATCACTCTGTAGCACATCATGCAACTGATGCCAAAGTTGTGGGGTCCTGTGTGCAACAGAGCCCTGGAAGCCACTGCTTGCCTTCAGAGGGGTTCCTTGCTGAGACCCACATTGCTTCACCTGCCCCCACCATGGCTGCTTGCCTGGCTCAACCAGAGTTCTGTGCCATGCTGGAGCTGGAGCTGTTGCTCTTCTTCAGAGGAGGAAACGGGGTGGGAAGAGGGAAGGGTCTTGCTTCTCTTCTAAGTGTTGCTGCTGTGGCTTTTTTGCCTTCTCCAAAGAAGCCCTGCCAGGTCCCAGGCTCTAGACTGCTGTGCTTAGTTGGCAAGTGAGAAGCCTGGGGTCTGGAGCCCACCTACTCTCTAGCAGCATCAGCATCCTACTCCTGGCGACATCAGGCTAACTGTCCACCCCAGCTTCATACCGCCAGATGTTGGCGGAAGGGCTAATACTGAATGTCTTGATTGGCTGGAGCCTTCAAAGCCACTGGGATGTCCTCCACGCAGCTGGGTCCCATGACCAGCTCCCTGTCTCCATAGGGGTAGGCATTTCACTGATTTTTGAAGCTCGAGTTTCATTAAATATGTTAAGAATCAAAGCTGTCTTTGTCTGTTCAGGCTGCTATAACAAAAATAAAATAGGCTGGGTGGCTCAAACAACAAGCATTTATTTCTCATGGTGCTGGAGGCTATAGACATCTAAGATCAAGGCGCTGGCAAATTTGGTGTGAGGCAAGTGCCAGCTTCCTCAGAGACCGTCTTCTCACCATAACCTCACATGGTGGAAAGGGTGTGAGAGCTCTGGGGCCCCACCCTTATAACCCAGTCACCTCCCAGAGGCCCCACATCCTAACATTATCATAGTGGGGTGAGCGTTTCAACACAGGAATCTGGGGGTGGGGGGGGCACAAATGTTCAGTCTCTAATACAGCCCTCTGATAAAACAATGCTGTGGTTAAATGAGTTCTGGCCAATTTGTAAAAGCCTCAGGACAGGTCCGACCCTCACAGACCTAAGGAGGGGCCAACCGGAAGGCACCAGAGATCAAGGTGATCCTCTGTCTTAATGGAGTCACATGTGTGGATTCACATGCAGTTCATTTATGTGCCAATGTCCTTGATAGCTAATGGCATATGCTTATTACGAGGAAGGAAATTTTTCCTATTTCATAATCTGGGAAAACAAGACTTAAAAAAGGTAAGTGACTACTGGCTTGAGGTCACCCAGCCAGGAAATGGCAGAGCTGGGATCTATAGGCCACCATCTGAGGCCAGCCTCCTTCCTAGCTGATGGGCACATACCCCTGTGCACCTGGATACCTTGTGGTCAGGGATGTATGGTATGGCTGACAGGACCCTGGGTAGAGAAGCCCAGCCACTGGGGAAGCCTACAGCCAAATTTGGGCTAAGTAGGTAACAGGGGTTTGGGGGGCAGGAGGCTCTTTCCCGTGATAACCATAACTCCAGTGAGTGAGCACTTGGACTGTGCTGGGCTTCATCTTCATCATCTCATTTGAATGCTTTCATGTCTCTCTGAGGTGGGTACCATTCTGATTTTACAGACCGAAAGGGGCTAAAAAATAGGCCTTAGCTCACGTAGCCAGGTTAAAGCAGAAGCAGATTTCAGGTCATGTGTATGAGTTGACAGATAGTGCCTTTAACCACTCCCTGCCCTACATGCATGCCAGGCATGTGCTGTTTGTCTCCACATGCACAGAGTACCCCTGCTCACCCTGCCATCAGCGATTGCTCTAGAAAGAGACCTGGGTGCTGGCTTGACTGCAGTTTCCTTTTTTTTTGAGACAGGGTCTTGCTCTGTTGCCCAGGCTAGAATGTAGTGGCATGATCACAGCTCACTGCAGCCTCGATCTCCTGGGCCCAAGCCATCCTTCCAACAAGTTAGGACTACTGGCACACACCATCATGCCTGGCTAATTTTGTATTTTTTTGGTAGAGACAGGGTTTCACCATGTTGCCCAGGCTGGTCTTGAGCTCCTGAGTGTAAGGGATCTGCTGCCTCGGCCTTCCAAAGTGCTGGGATTGCAGGTGTGAGCCACCACGCCCAGCCTGGCTGCATTTTCTGATCCATAATTGAACCTTAGACCATGATGATTTCTTTTCCTTCTGGTGTTCCAAATGCCCATTTGACTCCTGAGGAGCCACTGAATTGTTAATTCAATGCCGAGGAAAGCCTTTCTAGCATTCTTACACGCATCAGGTGTGTGTACTGGAAGGGGGATGGGTGGGGGACCTTGGAAGCAGCCCAGCTGAGGAGACCCTGTGTTAGGGGCTCAGGTAATAGAGATCTGCCTGGTAGGAGATGGTTCATGATGCTTGCAGCCAGGGCTGTGGGCCCCTGGTTCACATGCTTTGGGGAAGGTCCCTCAGAGGAGGCAGTGGCTTTCTTGCTTCCATGTATTACAGTTTATTAACTTTCTTTTCCACACTCACTGGGGTTAAGGTGCAGAAGGCATTTCACAAGGAGTCTTAAAACCAAATTAGGATTGCCAGGTAAAGGCTGCACAAGGAAAATGCCTTATCTCTGAAGTCCAGAGCTGGCAGGGGAGGGCGGTGTGACCCAGGGACTCCACCCTCCTGCAAAGCGAGAGGGCATACTGGAGAGGCATGGGGACCCACTCTGGCTCGCTCTGGGTGTTGTCTATAGCTCTGGAATCTTGGTGAAGGATTTCCTGCTCAACTTAGAGGGCGGGCCAAGGGGTCCAGGCTGGGGGAAGGTGACGATAGGAAGGCAGAAGGAAGTGACAAAGGCCACCTCAACACAGCAGTGAGAGGAGCTGAGGCAGAGGGAGGCAGTTACACACCCTGGCTCTGTAAGACCTCCAGGATGGCCCGGAGGATGGCAGCAGCTGCCACAGCCCCAGGGTCTGGCTGCTCCAGCCGTGCTGAGCTGATATAACTGGCTCTTCCGGCTCCAGCTTCCATATTCTTGGTGGCCTCAGCTGCAGCTTCGGCACTCTGGGGGAGGGTGTGGGAGCAGGTTCAAGGGCAGGCCCCCAGGCCTCCTCCTCCCTGTCATGGGCAGAGTGTCTCTGCCATGCAGCCTGGCCCTGGACACTCTTGCCCTGGCTCTGCCAGCAACCTCTGCTCTGTCACCAGGTGGAAAGTCACCTCTCTTCTACTTCCAGCAGGGAAAGGGGCCGCCATTCACTAAGGACCTGCCACATCCCAGGCACTGTGCAGGGCTCTAAGTATTTCCTTAGACACATAATCGCCTTCTGAGATAGGTGCTCATCTCCATTGCACAGAGAAGGAAACTGCGGTCCAGGAAGGTGAACGTGCTCAGGGTCACATGGAAACAAGAGTCTGGTGGTTCCAAGCCTGTCTCCATGGGCGGGGCCAAGCCTCACTTACCTTGACTGCTTTGGCCAGGACTTGGAACAGATCGGCTCCTGGGCTCTTCCAGGCTTGGAGCTCCTGCCCTGCTGCCCACAGAGAATCCAGCTGGACAAGGTGAGGGAAAGGGGGCTGAGCGCAGGCCCTGCCACTGAGGGTGCTCTTTAGGGCTTACAGGCTCAAAAGGAGAAAGGTCTGGGGCCAGAGCCCAAGTACACACCATAGTCCTGTCCCCTGGGGCAGCCTTTCCATACCTGGCAGGGAAAGAAAATGAAAGAGGCTCACTGTAGGAAACCAAGGGAATCACTCTAAGGGTGGGGCTAGGGCCTGGTGGGGAGCAGATGTCACCAACCACCTCCCCCAGCCCAACCCTGGTCTGAGGCACAGGGTTCCAGCTCACTTCTGCATGGTTTCCAAGCCGGCGTCCATGGCAGCAGACCAGGCTGGGAGGCTGGTCTTGACCTTGAGAGGCTGGGCAGCTGCTGTCAGAAACAGGCCATAGAGCTGGGGAAGATGAGAATGCTGAGCATGTGGTGCTGGCCAGGACCCCAGCTGGCCCAGCCACCTCCCTGTCAGCCCTTCAGCCCCTGGGCACCCACCGCCCCAGATGAGCCTCCCATCTTCTCCAAAAGCAGGACCGACAACTTGGAGAGCAGCTGGGCAGGGCTGGCAGGGGGTGGGCCCTCCTTCAGCCACTCCCGGATCGCTGTAGGCACAAAGAGATGGAAGGAATTCAGAGATGCTCCCTCCATCTCCCTGACTTCCAGCCAGCACCGGTGAAGACTGGAAGAGGCTGAGGGGAAGGCAGAATGAAGGCTTCCCAAGAGCCCTTACCACATCCATTGTGCGGTCTGGAGAGCCGCTGGGCTGTGTAACTGAACAGGGCCTCGGGAGGTGAGGCCTGCCCCTAGCCCCTCCACCTGACACCCTGTACTCCGCTTCCCGGCCTTGTTTTTTCTCCTTAGCCCTTTGTGATAACATCCTCTGTGTTTTACTAGTTTATCTTGTTTACTGTTTGTCTTCCTCCCAGAACATAAGCCATGAGGGCAGTGATTTCTGTCTGCTCTGTTCACTACTGTATCCAGAGTTGAGAGCAATGCCTAGCCCATGGCAGGCACCAAATACCTTTTTCTTGAATAATTGATGCTGGACAGTTAAGAGCTTTTCACTAGGCTGGGTAAACTAAGAAAAATAAGGACAACAGAGTAAGTTTGCCTTGAGTTATAAGTTATTCACTGTGAAGGATTTCATTTAATTCTAAGATAACAACCTCCTACACTTGTGTTATTAACAAGGTCCCTGTCGGGCAGGCTCGGTGGCTCAAGCCTATAATCCCAACACTTTGGGAGGCTGAGGCAGGCAGATGGCTTGAGGTCAGGAGTTTGAGACCAGCCTGGCCAATGTGGTGAAACCCTGCCTCCACTAAAAACACAAAAATTAGCCAGCCATAGTGGTGTAATCCCAGCTACTAGGGAGGCTAAAGCAGGAGAAGTGCTTGAACCTGGGAGGCGGAGGTTGCAGTGAGCCGAGATTGCACCACTGCACTCCAGCCTGGGAGACACAGTGAGACTCTGTCTCAAAAAAAAAAAGAAGGTCCCTGTCTTCAGGAAAAAAGGTGAAAGGGGAGCTAGGGTTTTGTGAATGACCTCACTTGGCAAAGTCCCTGGCACCAACCTCTGGCTGCACGGCTGTGGGTGGTGCCACAGTCACCGTCGCCGGCAGCCCGGTCCAGGGCATTCAGGTGCTCCTCCAGGCCCAGGAGGGTACTGCACACCCGTTCCAGCACAAGCGCCATCTGCTTCGAGGCTGAGCCTAGAAAGGGAGGACGGTGGGTACCAGGGCCTTAGCCCGTCCCACCACATACCCCTGTCCCTTCCCCAGAAGCAGGGCTTGGTACCTCCTGCAGCAATGGAATCAAGGGCCTCCTGGGGCTCCGCAGGGGCTACCCGGCTCCGCTTCCGCCCAGTAACAGAGACTGCGGCCACGTTAGGCCAGGCTGCTGCAGTGGTTTCAGCATCTAACGGTAGCAAGATAACTCTTTTAGACACAGTTGGCCAGCCAGGGATTCAGGAGGGCTTGGACTCCCTCATCCTGGCCCTGGTGGCCTGGCTCTCTCAGCAGCCCTGGAGGAAGGGAGTCCACCTCAAGCATGGACTGAGTGCCTACTGTTTACAGGGGTATGAAGGAAGGGTCCCTGGGGAAAGGGTCAGGCATATCTGAGGAGGATCCTAACACCAACTCCTCCTAGTCCAGTGAGAGCTAGAAAAGGCTGGAGAAGCTTAGAAAGGGCCTTCTTCACAGACTCCAAAGCTCTGATTGACAGTCATCCCTAATGGGGTCTCCAAGTCTCCCTGGCTTCGTCCAGCCACAAATAGCCCTGGCTTGGGTGACCCCAGGTTCCAGGTCTCACCTATCAGTTTCAGGAGAGGCTCATCCACCAGCAGGAGGGTGAGAGAAACACCAGGCATCTCCAGTGCTGACATGAAGGTGCCCACTAGGGCACGGGCAATCTTCACCCCACGGCCCTCTGCAATACCAGAGTGTGGCAGTCCAAGAGGGGAAAATGGACATCAGGGAAAGAAACATAACAACTGAAAAGCAAGGATGTTGGAAGCTGGGGCCCTGAGGTCAGTAGGGAGATGGCCTGATTTCCTCCTGGCATCCCTCAACCCCACAAATGACCACATTATTCACTGGAGGTGTCCCCTACTTCGGGGCAGATGAGTAATTATACGTCTCATTTACTCAGTTCATGCTAGGTGCTGGGCACAGTATTGAGGGTCTTACATATGTTTAATCTCAATCCTCAAAACAACCTATAAGGCGGGTACCATTATTATTACCCTGTTTATAGACAAAAAAATGAACAAAGGCTCAAGGTATCCAGCAATTAGGTGGCAGAGAGACGATTTAACTCAGGCTCATCTGACGGCACAGTCCGTGTTCTCTGCCATCACAAGGCCCTCCCTCAGCCCTTTTCAAAGGGCTGCGGGGTCCCCTTCCCAGTGCGAGGCTCACCCAGGGAGCGGACAGCAGCGTCGGCTAAGATGCCCAGTTCCAGGAATGACAGGCCACCCAGGTTGTTGACCATCATCACAACCGAGGAGCCTGTAGACAGACATGACACCCCAGGTGAGACCCTCTGCCCTGAAGTGGAGGAAGGGCTGGGAGACGGGGTAACAGGCCACCTACCAGACTGCACAGGCACATGAGACGCGTTGGTGGTGTCTGTCATGTGGTCGAGCATGAGTTTCACAATCTCATCGGCGGTTGCCATCTGTCACAGGGAGCCAAGAATGAGCTGCATCTGGGGGGCCTTGGCCTTAGGGCGGCCTGTGCCAGGGGGACCACCTACCTTTATCCGGCGCACACCAGCTTCCCCGTGGATCCCTGCAGATACATGTGGTCAGTGCTGGCCCACTCGGGACCTGGGAATTTGCTCATCATTTTTATCAAGGACTTGCACAGTGCTGGGCACTAGGCAAGGCACCTTAGGCACTGTATAAGTGGGTGGAGGTGGAGGGTGGAAATGGACAGAATAATGAAGAACACGGTCTCTGTTCTATGGGAGCTCATGGCTCGGTGGTGGAGATAGCTTTAACTAGAGGTAGTCAAGGTGGAAGCACAGGGGAGGAAGCAGAAAGCTTTGCGGTCAGGTGATCTTTGAACAGCCCTTGAAAGAAGGTGCATTCTGGCAGGGGCAGGAGGACCTGGGAATGGTAAGCAAAGGCAAGGAGGTGGACAGCACATGGAGTCCCACGTGGCCAGAGTCCTGAGTGTGGACGGCAAAGCAGGTAGAAATCAGGCAAGCTGGGCCTCAAATGCCCAGGTAAAAATACTAAGACCACCTGGGGAGAGGACCAGGTTGACAGCTCTTAGGGTATACAAGGTGGGCAAAGTCCTGGGCCGAGGGGCAGGCAGGGCTGAGATAGGTGGCCACAAGCTTACCCAGGCCCAGCTCCACCTCGTCGGCTGAGAGCTCGAAGGTGGGTTTGGAACCAGGGACACTGCAGGAGGATAAGCTCACCCCCAGGGTACCTATGAGAAATGAGGAATGAAGGGATGACTAGTCCGCTGTCAGCACTGGGTGTCAGGAAGGACAGCAGCAGCATCTCACAAGCCCTGCCCACAGGCACCCTCTTCTCTGAGAAAGCTTGCCAGACTCTCCACCTCAGCTATGGTACCCAAGGCCACCAGTCCCCAAGAGCTCCCCCAGGGATACCTTCCCTCAGCTTCTGGGTAATAACCTGGGAGCCCTACTGGGCAACCAACAGGAACCTGCTCCTCGTCCCAGGGCTGTTCCAACCTCCCCCACTCTCCTCCCCAACTCCCAGGCCGGCACTCACCCATGGCCTTGGCGACCATGTTCACCTGCTTCGTGATCTCCTCCAGCCCCACACCTGCCTCAGCCAGAGCACCTGCCACCTGCAGCCACACAGAGGTAAAAGCCCCAGAGCAGGGGTCATCACTGTACCATGTGGGGCAGAAGACAGGCAGGGCATGAATTTCTTGTTTGGAAGGGGGAACCTCAGGATTTCCACACTCAACCTGGCCCATCACATTTAGGGCAGACGAGCAAACTCCCCTCATTCACAGTCTACCTGCCAGGAATCTTTAAGAATTCCTGTTTGCTGCAGTCAGAAAAGACTTTACAAATGGGGAAATGTGCCCAGAGAGGGGAGGTAACTTGTCCAATGTCACACACCCGGTAGGTGGCCAGTTTCCCAACTCTAGGGTTCCAGAGTTCTCGTTCCAATAGCCTTGCTACTGTGGGTCACTTTATGCATCTATCCATCCATCCATCCACCCTATTTTTACCAAGCACCCAGTATATGCTGAAAAGGAAAAAAGGCGACTAAGTCACAGTCCCCACCTTTAAGAACTCACAGTCTGGGGAGAGGCTAGGGAAGCAGACACAAACAAACTGAAAATGTATGTGAGGTGGTAACTGCAATGATGGAGTCCACACTAGGAGGGGCTGCCAGCCAGCTCAGGGTAGTGGGGAGATGGGAGATCATGGAGAGCCTCCCAGGTGGGGAGACATCAGACAGAGCTGGGCTTCTGCAGAATGGTAGGAGTTAGCCAGGCCAAAAGGAGCCTGGACAAGAGAGAATTTTCTGGGCCACAGACACTGCATAAGCAAAGCCAGAGATGAGCCACAGCCTCTCGGGTACGGGAGCTGGCGTGAGTGGACCATAAGAGGAAGGTAGGGATGATGGGAGATGAAGGTGGGGAGTCAGGGAGCGGGGTGAGAGCTTGTGTTGACTCTAGGCATTCAACAAGGCTTTCAGTGGATGAACAACCTAGTCAGATATATGTTTTAGAAGACACCTCTGGCAGTAGGTGGAGAATGGATGGGCAAGGCCAGAAGGCAGGAAGCAGGTGGGGTACCCCAGTGAGGAGGCGGCTGCAGCCATCAAGCATGAACAGATGACGCCTGAACCAAGGCGAGCAAGAGTGGTGGGGTCTGAGGAGGATGTGTGTTATGTACACTTGGGAGTAGAAGTGCCAGGACTGGGCAACTGATTAGGTATGGGAAAGAGAAGGGGACGGGTCTGGGAGAATGCCTGTATCTGGGCTTAGGTAGCTGAGGGGATGGGGGGACCTTCTCAGATCAGGGAACACTGGAGAAGAAGTAACTTCTTGGGGAAGGGCTGGGAAGGTCCAGTTACCGGGTGCTGCTAGGCAAGGAAAAACTGAGAGGGGCTGGCCAGCCTCTGCATCCTGGGTGGAAGCCCACCTTGTGTATAAGCACTGTGCCACACAGCCCCCTCCGGCCTGCCTTCTTCAGGACGGTGAAGGCGCTGTCGTCCCCGATCACCACCATCTCCACTGGGATGCCTTCAGCCTGGGCCTGCTCCCGGGCCAGGCCAAAGTTCAGCCGATCCCCAGTGTAGTTCTTCACGATGAGGAGGGTCCCCACTGAGGAAGCAGCCAGCAGGGCTCAGTGCACTTACTGTGCCCTCCTGGCCGCAGCCCCTCCCACACACCAGGTTTACCTGTGCCAGCCTGGGCCACTGCCCTGATGGCTGCCAGGATGCTGCCCACTGCCGGGGAGGTGAACACGGCTCCAGCGATGACCCCGGTCAGCATCCCCTTCCCTATGAAACCTGGAAGTGGAAGGGGTGGAGTGAGCATGCCGGGTGGACTTGTGCCTGTAGTCACTGGGGCTTCCCACACTCCTGGGGTCATGGTTTGGTGAGCCCTACTGTGTGCCTGGTGCTCAAAGATCCCCCAGGTCTTCACATGGCTGACTCCTTCTTAGGAAGCACCTTAGAGAGGCCTTCTGTGACCTCCCAGTCTGAAGCAGTCACCCACTCCCTCCCCGGGGACTCACTATTCCTTTGCCCCATTTTACTGTCTTTACTAAGTCACGTAGCACCCTCTGAAACGATCTTTTACTTTTGTGTATACCTGACTATTGTCTATCTCTCCTAAGTAGAATATAAGCTCCTCCAGGGCAGAGACCTTGTCTGTCTGGTTCATTGTGCCCAGAACAGTGCCAGGTATGCAGTGGGCTCATGAGCATTTGCCGCATGAATGAATGGATTTGCTGAAGGAAGACAGGAAAGGGACAAATGACGTGCAGCCTAGTCCCTGCCCTCCAGGAGCCCTCAAGGAGAGTTCGCATCCCTGGCTCCTAACAGGAAACAAGCCAGGACAGTCCGGGCGTGGGACATGTCAGGTAAGAATTCAGAAGAGGAATGCTGTTCTAGGCTGGGAGTCAGGAAGCCTTCATGGAAGAAGGGGTGGGTCTGCTGGGCCTGGAGGGTCCAGAAGACTCATGGAATCACCAACTCTCAGGGCTAGAAGGACTTGAGAGATTGTTTGGCCCAAGCTTCATAGTTTTTTAGATGTAGAAACAGATTCAGAGAGGCCATGACAGGCCCCTGATCCCAGTCGGAGGAGAGGGAGAGTGGGAAGCAGCCCCAGTTCCTGACTCTGGGCTGGGTTCCACCCTGCACCTCATGGCAGCACTGAGGATCTTCCAGGAGGCCCCGTCCACTCCACCAGTACCCCCTGCCCCACCCTAGGGTGCTCACCAGCATGGGCAGGCTCATGGCCAGAGCCCCCACCCGACAACAGTGCCACCCGGCCCTTGAGGCTGTCCAGGTCAGAACGGAGGGCCACACGGTGGCCCTGCAGGAGCTGCAGGTTGGGGTTGCAGGCCACCAGGCCAGCAAGGGCATCATCAGCGCAGCCTGCCACCGAGTTCACCAGCTTTTTGGAGGTCTGCAGGTGAGGGGTGAGAAGGAGATCAGAGTGTGGTCAGCACAGACGCACCCATCCTGCCTAGCCACTCTGCTGTGGTGCAGGCCTGCATCCACCTAAGAACTCCAGGAGCACAGCACTTCCTTGAGTTGGGCAACATCTTATCAGGTGGGTATTTCTGTGAGTTTTCAATAACTTGTGACTTTCTATTCAGTACCTAATTTATGAAATGTCTTGTACCATACCTTTGATTTATCCTAAAAAATGGCTTCAATACAAAGAAAATGGGGGAGGTATTGTCCTCGGCAAAAAATATTTTAATAAAGTTGGGGCCCAACACCTTCTTCTGTCAAAGGAAGAAAAGCCCCAGGCTGAGGCTCCTATGCCAGGGGAAGGAGCTGAGCAGGTTCCACAGTCACTGCTGCTCCAATGCAGGGCAAACATTTCCCCAGCCTCCTGGTGTGCTAGGCCCAGCGCTAGGCACTGTGTGTAAAGATAACAGCCCAAGAGCAGTGGCTCATGACTGTAATCCCAGCACTTTGGGAGGCTGAGGCAGGCAGATCGCTTGAGCCCAAGACTTTGAGACTGGCCTGGGCAACATGAAACTCCATCTCTACAAAAAATATGAAAAATGAGCTAGGCATGGTGGCGTATGCCTATAGTTCCACCACTCAGAAAGTTGAGGTGGGAGGATCGCTTGAACCTGGGAGGTCACGGCTGCAGTGGGCTGTCATGGTGCCACTGCACTCTAGCCTGGGCGACAGAGTAACTCCATCTCAGAAATAAAAAAAAGAGGTAACAACACTGTCCCTGCTCTCAGTGAAACACAGCAGAGGTCAGCCATGTGCAGGTACTGCTACGAGAGGACTGTATGTGCACCACAGGAGCACAGAGGAGGGGCTGCAGCCTCCTGAGGGGCCTGGAGGTCTCTGTGAAGGATAAGCAAGACCTGGATAGGTAAAAGGGAGCAGGAGGCATGGCGGGGAAGGAAAGGGGAGGCTCTTCCAGCCAGAGGGGGAAACAAGCCAAGGCCTGGAGTGAATAGTGTGGTGGTGCCAGGAAGCATGGGTGACCAGCAGGGAGGGGTGGGAAGGAGAAGGCCGGCCACGGGCAGCCTCAGGAGGGGCTGTGGGCAGGTTGGAGGAGGGCTGCTGAGTAGCACCGCCAGGCTTGGCTGAGTGGATACAGGGTGTAGACAGAAGTGAGTAGTGTGGGGGCCAGAATAAAGCGCAGCTTGAGCTCTGCTGTCATGGGGACTTAGGTTCAAATCCCACTTCTGTCTCTCATTAGCTGCAGGAACTCAGGAAAGATACATCACTGTCGTGAGCTATAATTCTTCCTCTGTGAAACAGGGATTTACTAGAACAGAGTCTATGCCTGTGATATAGTGGAAACTCAATCAAAGGGAGCTACTCCATATTTTAAACAGGCTGTGAAAAGCCGGAGCCTGCTGAACAAGGGCTGCAGCCCCTGCCTTTGTCCTGAAGACAGAGTGAGGCTGGGGCCCAACATGGACCCAGCGGGCTGGGCTCCCACCGCCACCTGGTGGCCTGGCAGGAGCCTGCAGCTGAGCCAGGTTCTGGCAAGGTGAACTTCCGGCTGTAGCTTCTTCCTGAGCCCACTAGCACCAGCTCCTTTGTACAAAATTTGGCTCTGATGCCTACCTGCCAACCTGTCCTGCAACTGGCCAGGGCCAGGGCTAAGCCACCTGCTTCAGAGTGCTACAGGGAGCAAGAAGAATAAGACTGCTTCCATTTGCCGAGCGGTGACTACAGCCAGGCACAGTTCTAAGAGTTTTTGAGCATGTCTCATTGAATCTTCCCAACAACCCGATGGAGGAAAGATGAGCCCAGTGAGAAAACTGAGGCACAGTTAAACGATTTTGCCCAAGGTCACACAGCCAGGAGGTGTCCAGGTCTGCCTGGCTCCAAAGCTGTTTCCATTTTGGCCATATCATGCTGCTTTCTTGAGGGGCTGAAGGGAGGTGGAGGGTGACAGAGGTTGCCCTAGAAAGGGCATGGGCTTGTGGTCCTCAGAGCCTACCAGGGACTGGAACATACAATGAAGTTGTGAGTTGGCCTCACTCCAAGCCCAGCCTCCAGTACCACCAGCCTCCAAGAAAGTGGCCTGCTCCACATTTTGATAATGTCTTGCCTGGGATTTTTAATAATCCCTGCACCAGAGCCAGGAGAGGGTTTGGGGACCAGTGCCATCCCTGGTTTCAGTGGCCTGAGAGGATGGAAAAGGAAAGGAAATCACGTGAGGCCTCAACACTTCACAACAACTAGAGATAAGCGTTAATCTGCTTTATAATGCAGATAAAGAAAATAGGCTCAGGAGGTTAAATCTTCTGTAAAAGGTCATGCAGCTGGTCAGTGGCAAGCTGAAATTTGAATCCAGATATGTTCAAGGCTTGTTTTGGTCCAAATCAGTGGGCCTGGAGCAAAGCCCAGGGGCACGGCCAGGCTCCCACACTGTAGGTCCCAGCTCCAAACCGGCCGACATAAGCCCCAGGGTTAGGAATAGTCACGTGGTCATTCTTCAGGGATCCTTCTGTGACTGGTGCAGTGTCTATTACAGAGGAGGTAACTGTTCTTGTTCTACTCTGAATGTAAGACCCAGATAGGGGGCAGAACGGCTCTAAAGGGACGCAGAGGCTGCAGGCCCAGGCCTGGCTGGGACTAGTGGCCTCCGGGAATAAAGAAAAGCAGGAATCAGGCCCTGGGAGAGAGGATGACCCTCTCTATTAACCCCTGAGCCTCAGGAGGCAGTAGCATCTCTTGGTCAGGGTGTAAGGAGCTCTAGCATGCCCAAGTGCCCAGGGCTGGGATCCCGCTTTGAGACCATGCTGCCCTTCCTCTGCCCCAGCCCTGTATGACTCACCATGGTGGAGAGGCTCTGAAACAAGCTGAGTTCACACCTTTGTACCAAGTTGCCGGAGGATGGACAATCCTGTGTTACCTGTGTCTGAGCACAGCGGAGGCAGCAGCAGCACCTGCAGGAGCGGGTAATGTATAAGCTGCCGAAGGCACTTGCAGCTGACTGGCACAATCACACTTCAGCGCCCTAGTAATTAGGGAGCTGCCCCAGACTTCGGTCCAAGTCCAAACTCTAGTACGTGGGCTATGGATGGAGAAGAGTGTGGGGCCGACCAAGGTTCACGCCTGCACTTGGCTGCCGGAAGACAGATCAATCCATGTCAGGCACAGGGCTGCCTTTATGCCCAGGAACAGCACCTCCACCCACTTCATCACCGAAGAACAGTGACCCTCAGAATAACTCTATCTTTTACACGGGCATCACATGCAGTGAGAAAGTTAACAAAACTCTTCGCACGCTTCCTCTCATTGGGCTTGGCACCAAAAGGGCGGGGGATGGGGGAAGCTAGCCAGTTTGTGATCCCATTTTACTTCTGGGAAACACACTAGGAGAGCTCTACGGACATATTCAAGGTCATACAGGTAAGACCCAGGACCTAAACCTATGTTTTTGTTTTTCTACAAACAGTGTGTTTTCACTACTGCCTACAAAGTCAGGTACAGTCTCTGCTGTGGGAAATGCAAGCTGTAAACCACAATGACATTCTGGCTTTCCTCAGTTCAGCCCGGTTCAGTGGCGTGTTGGCCTCTGTGCCTACGTGTGGGTGCACAGTAGGAAGAATCAACATAGCTCTGCACCTAGCTCTGCTTCAGCCTACTTGGAGTTGGGAGGGCGGTCTTAGGTAAACCAATTCCTCCTTAAGTCTCAGCTTCCTCATCTGTAAAATGGGGATTGGCTCCTCTCTGGCATTCTCCGAGTGTGCTAAGCCACGTGGTTCTCCTCTAGTTCCCAGGGAGCCTGTTTGATGCTACCCTGGAGGCTGCAGGGCTGACTGCCCTCCTGGCTCCTTAGGGTTCCCTACGGAGAGATGCTGGTTTTGTGTTTGAGGTTCGAATTTGTAGAGCAATAGGGGCACCAATAACTGGGTGAGCGGACCGGTGAGCCCTTCAAAGTCTGAAGAATCAACGCGCAAAAGGGAGGAGGTGAGCGTCCTGGTGCCCCACGCCAAGCGGTCGTTTTAACGTCAGGGGAAAGCACCGGCTGGATCTGGAGGAACTGAGAGAGTGAAGCGGGGGTAGGCAAGGTTCTCGTCTGAGATGTGCACAAATCGCGGTCATTTCCCTTCCCTCTTTAGGCCTCCGCAGTCCTTCCCTTTCCAAAAGGAGGAACAGCCCCTAGAGCTCCTGGAGCAACGGAAGGACAGGACGCGGGGAAGGGCGAAGGGCGCGGAACGGGCAAGGGAGTCCCCGGGCGAGCTCCGAGGACACTGGCGCACCTCCCCCGCCGGCTCACGCCCGCATCCCCCACCTCCGAAGGCAGCACAATTTCCCGGGGACCCCCAACGCCGCTCTCTCATCCGGGTCCCGCGGGCGCTGGCGGAAAGAGGCAAGGCGGCGCCTCCGGGGGCGGGGCCTCCTTTGGTTGGCGGCCTCGGGCTTCGGGAGTCCTCCAAGGAGCCAGGTGAAGCCGTCCCGTGATGCCCCTCGCCCCGGCCGCTCTGGCCTGCAACGTGTATCTGGGGCGGAGGCAGCGGCAGTGGAGTTCGCTGCGCGCTGGTGGGGGCAGCTAGTCTCTCCGCTTGTGTCCCTCTCTCTAGTGTCGCGCTCGAGTCCCGACGGGCCGCGCCAAGCCTCGACATGTCGTACAACTACGTGGTAACTGCCCAGAAGCCCACCGCCGTGAACGGCTGCGTGACCGGTGAGGCTGCCGGGGCCGGAGACCCCGGCGAGGGAGGGAGCTGAGGGGAGCCGCGGCCTAGGGAGGCCCGCAGCCCCGGGGCGGCCGGGCAGGAGCAGGCCCGGCGAATGGGAGGCGCTGGCGGCCAAGAAACCTCCCCCGCCCCGCTATGTCGAAGGAGTCGCCTCAATATGCGCTTTTGGGGGGCTAGGATCTTTTCTCGAGGTCCTTTTTCGTCCTGGGGAGTTCACTCGGCCTCGAGGACAGGGCGGGCCCAGTGAGACAGAGAGAGGAGTGTGAGTTGGTTATGCGGTGTTGTTTGGGCCCGGAAATTGGCCTCATGTGGCCGGGAAAAGGGAAGGTGGTAATGACGATTTTGGTGCCAGGATTTTCTTGTGGAGAAGTCTGGGGGGCCCAGAAGGTGGAGGGATGTGAAGAATGCCCGCATTCTCCACAGAGGGAGAGGAGCTCTTTCCGGGCTAACCCCTTTGCCTGGGGCTGTTGTTTACATGAGGGCCCTGCTGGAGAAGAGGGTTTGCTTTTTGACGATGTGTTTTTATTAAAGACACCAATGTCCAGAACCCGGGAAGGATCATCTGGGACCCACATTCTCAGCTAAATATGCAGACCCCAAGCTTGCATGTTTATGTACACCCTAATCATGATTCCAAAACAAAACTCTATTGTTCAGAGATGGAGGTAGCTGAGTGTGGATGGGGGTGTTGGTAGACTGCCAGGAGGGTAGGGGATGTGGACAAAACAATGTTTTCATGTAAAACTCTGGGACTTTTCTCATTTGGTCTGTCTGAAAAAAGTTTCTGAGACTTTACATGAAGACTGGAAGCATTCTCAATCGAAGCCTGCCACTGTAACTGTAATAGGAAAAGTAAAATTCGAGGGACAAGAGCCATGAGAAGAGATTAGTCAGTCATCGTCAGTTGGAGGACACACGCTCTTAGATCCAGTCCAGTTTTCTTAGTCTGATTAGGGAAGTAGCTTTGTTGAATGCGTGAAATGAGACTCTTTGAGGTGCTGGATTTGGCAAGAAGGGGAATAGCTGGAGGGAGTTGGAGAAGTATGTGAAGTAAATGAGAATTCTGGAGGTATTTAGACATAAATGATTTTGAAGGGATGGGAGTCCCTTTCCCTGGCTTCAAAAGTTAGAGGATCTGTTCTTTCAGGACACTTTACTTCAGCTGAAGACTTAAACCTGTTGATTGCCAAAAACACGAGATTAGAGATTTATGTGGTCACTGCCGAGGGGCTTCGGCCCGTCAAAGAGGTGGGCATGTACGGGAAGATTGCGGTCATGGAGCTTTTCAGGCCCAAGGTAAGTGCTGAGTTGGGACAAACAGTGGAGGGAGAACTATTGGTTGTAGGTTATTTACGTTATTTTTGTTTATTTTCTTTGAGACTGGGGTCTTGCAGTGTTGAGGATGTCTTGCAAGCAATCCCTCCTCTTCAGCCTATGGAGTAGAGTAGCTGGGGGATTGTATGCATGCACCACCGTGCCTTGGCTATGTTATGTTGTTTTGTGAATTCTTGGGATGGATGGAATATGCCTTAGGAGAGAAACGCTCTTCTCTCATTGGATGGCAAATTTCAATATGTATTCTTGACCAAGTTTCCCAGTAGTAGGAGAGATTCATTAGGGAAGCATTTATGAAGTTGACTTCTTTAGGAGGGAGAAATTAAAGCAGTTTGATTCAGAGGATAGGCTACAGAGTGGGGCAGTCCTGGCTTCATTCCTTATAATTCTGACTTTAGCTGTCACTTAAGGCACCTTTCAGATCCAGTCTACTGGGTTATTGTGAAGACGATATGATTCAGCAACACAGGGCATATAGCAAGCATTTAATGTTGTGTTAACAATTACCAGGCTGGGCGTGGTGGCTCATGCCTGTAACCCCAGCACTTTGGGAGGCCTAGAGGGGTAGATTACTTGAGGTCAGGAGTTTGAGACCAGCCTGGCCAACATGGTGAAACCCCGTCTACTAAAAATACAAAAATTAGCTGGGTGTGGTGGCACATACCTGTAATCCCAGCTACTTGGGAGGCTGAGGCAGGAGAATCACTTGAACCCGGGAGGCGGAGGCTGCAGTGAGCCGAGATGGCGCCACTGCACTCCAGCCTGGGTGACAAGAGTGAGACCCTGTCTCAAAAAAAAAAAATTACCATCAGTATTTTTATCATTTTAGTGCAAATGTTTTCATCCAAATCACCACCACATTGCATTATCATGTCTTAACTGAATCTGGCAAGAAAGCTATGGGTTCAAAATTTTAATTATAACCCTTTGAACAAAACAGTAATTTTTTGGAGGTCTGTGTTAAATAAGACTTTGTAGATCCATTTTAGCTTCCATTGTTATTCCCACATTTTTTTTCGTCTGCAAACACTTGGAGAGGAGTGGAGGAGGCATTACATTCATCTTTCAGAATTTGAATGCGATGATTGAGATTCACTTGAGATTGAAATAGATGAAGACTTTGTATATAGAACAGAGAGATGGAGAATCATGAAAGTGAGGACTAGATGTTTACCAGCTTCAGTTCTGGCTTTTTGTACATGCCCTTAGGGTATATGTGTACCTAGTGTGGGTTACAATCTCACCATGTATTTTCTCTTTTGGGAGAGAAGAATTTGGAAAATTCTTAAAGAACTTGGTTTGCTTAAAGACTGGACAGGTTGTTCCTGTTTTAAAAAGAACCTCTTTTGATAGCATAATATTGGTTTCCAGGGGGAGAGCAAGGACCTGCTGTTTATCTTGACAGCAAAGTACAATGCCTGCATCCTGGAGTATAAGCAGAGTGGCGAAAGCATTGACATCATCACGCGAGCCCATGGCAATGTTCAGGTGAGGTGGCTGCTTTAGGCCCATGAGAATTTTCCAAGCAGGGCTGTCATGATTCATTGAGAAAAATTCAAGTGCTGGGAACAGCCCTTTATTTGATTAGAAAAACAAGGGAAAGACACTATGGGTTTGAGCTTTTTTGAGAAAGGACTCCTGTAGTTCACTTAAGGCCCAAGGGAAAGGGTAATAATTCATCGAGATTCAGTATTTCACAAAACAGTTAGGCACTGACATTTGGGCTCCAACTGTTTGGCGTATCAATTAGATTTCATTAGTTTTACTATCTCTCCTAAAATTTTTCTGCAGAAGTGGTGTCCAGTGTCCTCTGTTGCTCTGTGGTTGTTGAGGTTCTTCCCTAATCCCTATTTTGTTTCTCAGGACCGCATTGGCCGTCCCTCAGAGACTGGCATTATTGGCATCATTGACCCTGAGTGCCGGATGATCGGCCTGCGTCTCTATGATGGCCTTTTCAAGGTTATTCCACTAGATCGTGATAATAAAGAACTCAAGGCCTTCAACATCCGCCTGGAGGAGCTGCATGTCATTGATGTCAAGTTCCTATATGGTTGCCAAGCACCTACTATTTGCTTTGTCTACCAGGTACTGGGTCGGGAGGAGAGGGGGAGAAGCTGTGAGGTTAATGTGGTAGGAGTTGTTTTTGCTCATTGGAATGTCTGGTTTGGTAGTAGGGTAGAGAGAGGTGTTTAATGTGTTTGTCCTGAAATGTTTTGAACAACACAATTGATAGGGGTCAGACTTTTGTTGCTTCTTCAGTGCACTAGTACTTGTTGGGGAGGCAGCAAGCTCCCTGGGGCTTGTAGCAGGTTTTAATCCTGAGATTATACTCTGGTTGTGGGCCTTGGAGATTTCATAGGATGACCCAGTTTATACTTTGAGTCTCTTACTGGAGTGCTAGGGGATTATTAAAACTTAGCTGTAGAGAAATTATCTAGATCTTGCCTTTATATTGAGCAAAGACAAATTGTCTTGGTGATGCCTTAAATTTGTTTTTTAAGAAGAGGTTTATGTTTTGTCCAGCAGTCACTTACTGGTGACTTACTGGCTCTTGACTTCTATTTTAGTCTGTGCCTAAAACTTTAGCAGAGCTGATTCTGGACAGCTGTTCTCTGGTCCAGATCTGTTAATTGGGGGTGGGGTGGTAGAACACCAGACTAACATGCCAGTGTCTTGGTAAAATCTCAGCCCTTTAACAAAGCATGCAGCATGAGGTAGTTTCATTTGCATGTGGCTGAATAAATGATGGAAAGAAAATACATAGAGTGTATGGGCACATAAACAGTTTGATAGCCTTGTTATGTATTGGAAGTGCTGAAGTAATTTTGTATATTTCTTAGTGTTACTGCAGTTGTGAGGCTATTGGATTAAGGCTCAATTGAATAAGGTTGAAATCCAGAGATTTTGTTTGATCTTATTAAATATCAGTTAAAATAAAAACTTAGAACTTCTCTCTGTTCTTTAGTTTTGTAAATATTAGGTCATTAAAACTTTGTTGTTGATTATTCAAGGCTGATTGTTCTCAGCCTCAGGGCTGCCAGTCGTAATCAGATCTTCATTTCTGCATGTGTGTCTCAGAAGCCTAAATCCACACTTGAAGTTTTTGTGAAGTTGTGTCATAACTCTACTCACTGATGAAAAAAATGTTTTCATCAGCTAAAAATTACTATCTCCTGTTTTATGCCAAAAATTCAGTGTGTGCTATGTGAAAAGTATTCATGCTTCAGGAGCTATAACAGTGCTATGTGAAAGGTATTCATGCTTCAGGAGCTGTAACAGTGACCAAGATGTGATCCCTGTCCTGAACCACATTGCTGAATTCCTTCCATAACTTCTTTGTGGAAGCCATCTTCCACTGGCTGAGTGTAGCTTTCTCCCCATCCCTGCTCTTCAGCACTTTTTTTTTTGAGACAGAGCCTTGCTCTGTTACCAGGCTAGAGTGCAGTGGTGCAATCTCAGCTCACTGCAATCTCCGCCTCTCGGGTTCAAGCGATTCTCTTGCCTCAGCCTCCCAAGTAGCTGGGATTACAAGTGCGTGCCACCACACCCAGCTAATTTTTGTATTTTTAGCAGAGACGGAGCTTCACCATGTTGGCCAGGATGGTATTGATCTCCTGACCTCGTGATCTGCCTGCCTCAGCCTCCCAAAGTGCTGGGATAGGCGTGAGCTACCATGCCGGGCCAAGCAACTTAAAGGTGATTTTGGCAGTCCCAGCACTGACATGAGTCATGATTCAGAAAAAGGTGGGGGAAGATGGTGTTGACAATGGCAGGACTCAAAGTTCTGGCAACTTTAGAGGAGTAATCAGTTATGTTCTTTCTACTGTTATTCCGTCAGAATGCTTTTCTGAATTGTATCAATTAAAAAAAATCTCATAGGTGTAGCTTATCAATGTGTGTTTTTATGTAGCTATTTTGTAAGTTCCTTGAGGCTAAGGAATGGCACAGGCACAGGCACAGTATCCCTTTTTTTTTTTTTTTTTTTGAGACGGAGTCTTGCTCTGTGGCCCAGGCTGGAGTGCAGTGGCGCCATCTCTGCTCACTGCAACCTCCGCCTCCTGGATTCAAGTGATTCTCCCACCTCAGCCTCCTGAGTAGCTGGACTATAGCCGTGCACCATCACACCCAGCTAATTTTTGTATTTTTAGTAGAGGTGCCATGTTGGCCAGGCTGGTCTTGAATTCCTCACCTCAGGTGATCCGCCCACCTCGGCCTCCCAAAGTGCTGGGATTATAGGCTTGAGCCACCATGCCCGGCACACAGTATCTCTTAGAGTGCTTAGTGCAGTGTGACAAGTTCATTTTTCTAATTTTTAAATCTTTCTTGTTTGGTTGAATTGTTAAGAGTGGTAGATCTCAGATGCCACAGTCTACCTAGGAATTAATCCCAGGCTCAGCTGGTGATTATCAGTATAGTGATGGATAAGGGTGAGAGGGCTGACATGACAGGACTGTTAGATGCTGGGTGGTAGTGGCTTGTCCCTTTCAGCACCTCTCTTAGCCCAAGGCTCATTCTTCCTAAAGGCTAACCATTTTACCTTTTCCTGCTAGGACCCTCAGGGGCGGCATGTGAAAACCTATGAGGTGTCTCTCCGAGAGAAGGAGTTCAATAAGGGCCCTTGGAAACAGGAAAATGTAGAAGCTGAGGCTTCCATGGTGATTGCAGGTTGGTTGGGGGTTTTAGGAAATGTGTCTCCACCTGGGGCTAGGCTAGTTCCCTGTTCTTGTTCCCTCCCTTACCTTCTCTGCCCTTTAGTTTGTTGCTCAGTATTATTGAAGGTGTGCAGTGTTTACCACTCCTTTATGTCTTCTTTCTCTAAAATCTGCTTTGTTTTTTTCTGTCTTTGAGATTGTCTGTTTTTCACTCCTTCCCCCAAAAGTATAACTTTCCTTTTGGTTGGGTGGAGGGATTGACTATAAAACATGGAGATTGATTTGCACAGTGGCATATGGAAATGAGTCTTACTATTTTATTACTGGGTATAAAATTTAAAACTGAAAGAAAGCCAAAACCTATAGTCCAAGCTACTCAAGAGGCTGAGGTGGGAGAGTCACTTGATCTTAGAAGTTCGAGTTCAGCCTGGGCAGCATAATGAGACCCCCATCTCCTTTAAAAAAAAAAAAACAACAACAACAAAAAACTGAAAGGGAGCAATAGAGCTTATCTGATTTCTTCATAGATGAGGAAACAGGGCCAGAGGGACCTGCCCATGCCTGTATAACTGACAAAGTCTGGGCTGGAATCCAGGCTTCTTAACTCCTTGTCCTAACTGCCCCAGCATTATGTTTATCTCACTCAGGAGAGAAGTTTTAAAACTCTTGAGAGAAAATTGGCTCTTCTAAATGGTGGCCCTGATAATGGGGGGGAAGTTAAGCTAAGGAACAAGAGTGGAGACCAGGAAAGAAAAGTAAAATCCTTTGCTTAGAAAGGATTAGAAGTTAAGAAGAAAAAAATGGGAGAATGCATGGGGAAGAACACGGAGAAGACTCCTCACCCATAGGAATGGTCAAAATCAGAAGAGTGGCAATAAAAATATTGCCAGTCTACAATTTCTAAGAATCTCGTAAAGGCTCTCATGTTCCCTGGGCTTTGATGTCCTTTTTAAAATAATGATGATCTCAAAGTTTGCCTTGGGGCTAACTGGACCTGTACTCTTGCCAGCCCCTGATTTGGCAGACCCAGAGTGCTGAGCATTCTAATTTTGCTGTCTTTCCTGCAGTCCCAGAGCCCTTTGGAGGGGCCATCATCATTGGACAGGAGTCAATCACCTATCACAATGGTGACAAATACCTGGCTATTGCTCCTCCTATCATCAAGGTGAGCAGCAGTCCTCTCCCTTTTTTTCCTTTCATCTTTTCTTTCCTTATCCTCACCTTGCTCCTCCTTTTCTCTCCTTTGTCAAAACGAGATTCACAGATGCCTGTTAAACAAATTACTATGTATATAAGATACTGTATTGGCCATTGGAATACAGAGAGAGATTAGCCTGGATTTGCTTACAGAGAGCTTGCTTGCTAACTTAGATAAATGATGTTATCAAAATAGGCTGGCATTTTTCATTGGCTGGGGCAGCTTTCTTTTTTCAAAGAGATAGGGTCTTACTCTGCTGCTTACGCTGGAGAGCCAGAGTGTGATGGCATGATCATAGCTCACTGCAGCCTCGAACTCCTGGGCTCAAGTGATCCCCTTGTCTCAGCCTCGCACGTAGCTAAGATTACAGGCGTGAACTACCTCATGGGGCAACTTAAAGAAGAGACAATTTGGCCGGGCGCGGTGGCTCAAGCCTGTAATCCCAGCACTTTGGGAGGCCGAGGCGGGTGGATCACGAGGTCAAGAGATCGAGACCATCCTGGTCAACATGGTGAAACCCCGTCTCTACTAAAACTATAAAAAATTAGCTGGGCATGGTGGTGCGTGCCTGTAATCCCAGC